TAATTGTCACATAATTATATTAAGCATCACGTAAGCTACCTGCATACCAAAAATCACGACAATCCGTCAACCGGTTCTTGAGTTATTCTCTTTTGAATATATTCAAACAGATAGCCCTGCAGTTCCAGAGCAAGCCGCTAGGGGGCCCAAACTCACGTCACTTCTTTCCCAGCACAAGAGCTACGTGCCATCCAAATTTCGTCACCCTAGCATGTCTAGATCATGAGATATCAAAAACGGAAGTTCAGCTGCAGTACCGTAACAAGCTGCTAGGGGGCCCAAAATCTAATCATTTTGAGGTCTCATTAAGACCTACCCACCTACCAAGTATCAAGACAATCCACCAAGGCCTTCTCAAGTTATCGTGTTTACAGACAGACAGACAGACACACACACACACACACACATACACGAACGCCTCTGAAAACATAACCTTCTTGGCGAAGGTAATGAAATCTGAACAAAAGTTACACTATAAGTCCATCTATTTGAAGCCTTTTTAACTTGCCATTATACAAAAATATCTACATGTATGGTAGATTTACCAAATGGTACCGAAATGGATTTTTCAGCCTCCATATGTCTTTCACAAGCCACATAATTTTCAGCCCTTCAGAGCTTACTTTTACATCTACAGAAACAGCAGGGAGGTAAGAGTAGGTAGTGGTATGTGCAGGTTTTGAATCCACACCCACCAAATGAAGTTTGCAGCTGTAGTCATGCCAGAACTATGTGGTAAACACTGCCTTTTCCTCATCACTGACTGACATGGATGAACTTTGGGCATGCTCTTGGCACCAGAGTAGCACTTATCTAACTGATCGAGAACTCTGTGTATGTGGAAAATGCCGTGCAGCCAGGGGCTTTGTTTTGATATCAATAAAACCATGTCTTTAAACAGTTGTTTTTTAATCGTTGGCTCCTTTCACATGTTCTGAGCAAAAACATACTTTTAGACCTCCCCAGTCTATGGCTATCAATTCAATTTGTCTAAAAATTTTGTTACTATGTTTTGTGTCTTGAATATTTAGTCTATGTTACTATACTTTGTGTCTTGAGTATTTAGTCATCTTCAAAGCTTGTTTTGTGATGCACTAGGCTGAGAAATCTATATAAAATACATAATATGTGTATCAAACAAGCATCAAATATAGGTGTTTCAAAAAGTCCAGAACAGTATTTCAAAGGACCCCCAGTGCACACTTAGTTTAATGTGAGCAGAGACATTCTGTTTGTTCTGCCGTGACTGTTTATGTTGAAGTCTGTGATCCCACGCTCGGTTGTTCCAACAGGTGACCCACCTACGTGACAGGTGTCACGGGAACACAACAGTCCCTACTTGAAAATAATACAGGGCTCAAAATATATTTTCTGTGCAGGTAACATTGAAAATTACATGTACCTGCACCAGACAAACTTTATGCACCACTCAGACATTAGGAAGTATGAATCATAGAATCTGATTAAGAAACCATTGATTGCCATTACATTGTATTTCTTTTGCACTTCAACACAATATTGGTAACACCCATTGTAGCAATAAATCTCCACATATACACCTACACCTAGTACATGGACCAGTCAGCTCAGAAATACCTACACAGTCCCAATTTTACCTGCACTAAGGTGCATATGCACCCAGTATTTTGAGCCCTGTAATATAAATTATTTAGGTCTGCTACCGTCTGTAAGGTATCAAGTAATCTTAATTTCCTGGCAACATCTAAGAGATGGAAAGGATGAGATTATTTGTGGAAGTGCCCCCCTCCCCCATCCTGTCTGCTTTTGTCTGACTAAGCAGACAGAGGCAGTGAGGTGTTGATTGTTGTTTCTGGTCCTTTGAAGGCAAGTCTTTGAACTCCTGTCTTGCCTTTGGACACGCAACAAAGCACAACATCTGAAGGAATAGGAGAAGGCAATTATTCGTTAACGGTAAATTCGCGGTATAGAAGCGATGGCACAAGCCGCAAACGTTAAGGTACCACAAAAAAACAGGAATTACAGTATTGTTCTGTGCTATTAAAGTTCGGTTGAGGAAGTTGAAGATGTACATTTGGAGATGGATGATTTCTGCTGAATACAGTAGAGATGCTGTTGATGTCTATGTAAAGTTTATCAGACCTCTGTTTTGTGTGTAATTGATCCTGTTGTCAACAGATAAGATGGTAGACAAGTTGTTGGAGAAACAGTGATATGATAAGATCAGATCCGTTCACTGAAGTAAGAAATTCACACAGAGATGTTTATCCTTCCGACAGCCAAGTATGTGTGAATTCTTTCTTGATGTCCTTCTATATACATTTATACTGTAATCTCCATTATCCCAAATATTTCTCGGATCCTTAATTGATGAACAAATGAGGCGAGAAATAAAATAAGTTAATGGAACATGTATTAAGAGGAGGATTTGGGAAATGTGCATGTGGATTAGCAGGAAAAAACCCTCTCATCTTAAGGGATTTGGTAATGACAGGAAGTTACTAAGCAACAAAGAAGTGCATTGGACATTGCATGTATGGGTGGATTTGGTTGCATGCATAGTAGACAGAAATATATGTCAGTTGTAGGCCTGACCAGGAAAAAAGAGGCTACTTCAAACTTGCGGTGAAATATGAAAAGGGCTAATAGAAATACTAGTACTTGTTTGTCCACAAACACTGGCTAAGGAGTTTCTCAAATTTACATTCTGGCATGTTGTCTTTGCTGTCGGAAATTTTCAATATCAAGAATTTAATCTTTAACTTCTACCTGTCCATTTTTTCTATAATGCCTGTAATGTTTCCAACAGTTGCCTTCAGTTATAATGACCAGCAAGACAGATTCACAAACACAAAAGTTCAGCTGTGATAGAGACAAACATCATCGTACTCAGGGTGTATTGTCATGCATACATGTGTGATTAGTAAAGAGTATTTTGTTTGACCTTCAGCTATTTTAAGTGCCCTAATGGCGGACCACCATGTGTCTCATTACTCAGTTATGTACCAGTGATGACTGAGAACTCAGAGGTGCACAAGGTTGACATAATCATGCTCACACTGGTTTCATTCTTCAACAGTTGAGGTTTAGTGCAACATAGACTTTTCACTATCATGAATTAATTTGTCTGGTGCTTAAAGGGGAAGTCCAATACTTTCAGTTTTGGGGCCTTTTTACCCAAAATCCTATTTGTAAATGGTGATTTATTGGTTTCTGCCAACCCCGCACATATTTGCCGTGATATCTGACCCGATCGATGTTTCGCGGCTAGCGCCAGATTGTCCGCTAGTCGGCGCTGCGACTGAATCTGTGACGTAAAAGGTTTCATTCTGCTACTAGCGTAAACAACAATGGCGGGCGTGCAACCCTTCCGATTTGAACCACAAACTGACAGTAGTGGCGACTCTGAGCCCGATCCAGGCGATGACAACGTTTGGGATGGCGGTGATGTGGAGACAGAGCGTTGGAGGTTGGGGAACCGGGACTGGTGCCGGTGTGGAAACGAAGACAATAGAAACTGCCTGGAAATGCCCTCTGTACGGGAGAGTGTTTGTTGTCACGACCTGCCAGAGCTGACAGACACTGAAAAGAACGTCGGTACAGACCACCCATGCATCAGAAACCACCCTGACTTCGATGTGATTCTGCACCCGGCAAACCTCCGAACTTTGCTGATTTTTCGGTGGGATCTGATCCGGCAGGGCGTGCAGGAGCCGGTCTCTAACATGTCAGTACCGCGGTTTGTTTACGTTGCAATTCACTCAACCCTTTGACGGATTTATTTATATCGACCGCCCATACGCCCAACAGAAAGGAATTGAGGTGGCAGAATACTACCTTTCCTGTTTCGTGGTTTTTAACAACTTGTCAAAACAACACCTTTTTGTCTGCTAATTACAGTACATTTCTGTATGCGTTCTAATCTTAGACACATGTGTTAGTCGGATTTACATTTTCCCATAATAATTGTGCTCACAGCTAGTACAGTGGTCGTCACATTTTTGGTTCCATCTGGAATTGTAAGGCTTTGAAATCTGAGGTGCTATTTGTTTTAAATAATGAAAACAGCTAGCTACATGCGTACTTCTGCCATATAGACTGAAAATTTCAACAGAATTCAATGACAACTAGAGTTCCACGAGCATCCAGGCTCGAAATGGTCTGAACACACCCGCCAGTGGACGCTCTTCTTGTGTACTAACTCCTTGATTTTCTCCGGCGTCAGTTTATTTACAAGATTGTTCCTCATGCTGACCAACCACCTGTGTAGCCTATCGTGGTCTTTTGGAAACTTGTGGAAGCTTACGCCGCGCTCCTTTGACGCAGGGCCATACCAACAGCCACAACGTGCACAACGCGGCATACTTGCAGCGAGCTATGTACTGGCAGACAGACTGAAATGGCGCGCGCTCCAAATCTGTTCCAATGAAACCTTTTACGTCACAGATTCAGTCGCAGCGCCGCCTAGCGGACAATCTGGCGCTAGCCGCGAAACATCGATCGGGTCAGATATCACGGCAAATATGTGCGGGGTTGGCAGAAACCAATAAATCACCATTTACAAATAGGATTTTGGGTAGAAAGGCCCCAAAACTGAAAGTATTGGACTTCCCCTTTAAATGATGTTCAATAGCTCTTCTTTTTCCATCCTAATATTACCTGCATGTAATAAAGGCTCAAATAGAACAAGAAATAGTTATGCCTTCAAGTACAAGGATTGAGGTGTTCAAAAACTCAATTTTCCATAGAACTATTGTAGAGTGAAACTTATTGCAACCAAGTACAGTAGGGGCATAATCATTAGGTAGCTTTAAAGAATGTTTTAGATTAGATGTTAAAAGGCTACTGGTGTACCGGTAATACATATAGCCAGCTGCAGCAAAGCTGGTGTGCTACACAGAGGGGAGGTTACACAGGCTATACAGATACAGATTCTTGCTCCACCGTGTATGTGTTCCCTATGCTAATCTCCGCAACGTTAGTCACAATATTCATCCTGTTTTTTTTTTCCTGTTGTGCAGAGCGTGTAACAGCAGGAAGATGAAGGAGACCGTAGCTCTGGAGCTCAGCTTCGTCAACTCCAACCTCCAGCTGCTGAAGGAGGAACTGTCCGACCTCAACAGCTCCGTGGAGGTTTACCAGAGTGACAGGTTAGTGTGGGAACCAAACTACCAGATACTGCAATTTCACTTAATGTTTCCGGTAGCAAAAGTTCACGGTAGGGTAGCAAAACTTCACAGAACTATATCTTCATGGTGGCAGCAGGTGCAGTAAAAAAGAAAGTCAGTGAATTATTTGTTAACATGTTGTGATAAGTTCGTGGCACAGAAGTGACTGGAAAAACCTGCGAAAGCTGCATGTACAAAAGTACATGTACTGTGAAAAAAGATCAGGAATTGCAGTACACCGTTGATTAAGATCTAATGCCTATAAATATCCCTCCCTACACATTTGAAAATGTCACATCCTGTAGCTGTGATGGTGGTAGATATGGAAACAATAGAAGGTAAAGGTTAAAAGCATCATTTGGTCCTAACGATGTCTGATTACCCTGTTCTGCCTACAGCGAAACCAGAGCAACTCCCATGATCCCGCTGGGGCTGAAGGAGACCAAAGATGTGGACTTTAACATACCTTTCAAGGTCAGATTCTTATTTTATACGCAAAATTTGCAGACTTACAAGTTGCACAGTTCTGTCTTGGTTTTAACAAATTGTCATTGTCGGCTATGATTGTCAGAGATTACACTGAATGCTTGGAAGAGTAGACATAAACTGTGTGGCAGGCAAAACTAACAAAAAACAAACCTAACGTAACTCTGTCTTGTGGTTTTTACCTACAGGATTTCATCCTAGAACACTACAGTGAGGACAGCAGTGAGTACGACGGAGAGCTGAAGGAGCTGCATGACCTCAGAAGGGTGAGAGGGAATCTTCCACATTGTTACATTGTCCATACCCATTCTTCATGGAGTGTATCTGAAAATTATAATCGTCAGAACCTAGGTCTTGATGTACATGTACAACCAAGTTTAAGCCTACACATTTTCATCTTCCCTTTTCCTGACCAACTATGTCACATGTTGTAACTGTTCTAACCATTACGCTGATAAAAGTTAGACATCCAGGTAAACAATACTCATAGACAATTCAAACTCCCCTACTGGGTAAAATATGAAGATTTCTTGTTGATGTTTCAAATGTCAACCATCACTATTCTTCAGTGTCACTAGAATGATTTTATAGAAGTAGTTCACACTTATGTGTTCAGCGTCAGTTGTTCCCTAACCATATAAAACATTCTAATCATTGTTGTTGCCCCTGCAGGCCATGCGGACCCCTGAGCGAGACGAGGCAGGAATAGAACTCCTGATGGAGTACTACAACCAACTGTACTACGTGGAGAAGAGATTCTTCCCTCCCAACAGACACCTGGGCATCTACTTCCACTGGTAAGATCAGGCAAAGACGTAGACCAGTGACTTGCTTTACTAATGACTAGTAATGTATCATTGACTGGTCTGTCATGCACTTAGAACCTGAACTGCATTAAACTTTTAAACCTGCATGAATAAAGAGACTCTTTTACACAAGCAAGAGGCTGACGTTTCGGTGACCGTCTGTCACCTTCATCATGGCAATTCTGACTGGTTCACATTGCATAGCACAGGTGTTGCTGCTATAGACGTGTTGAGCTTCCCAAACGCAAAGTATTTACATATCTACATGGTTACCGAGAACGGTATCTACAATGCAGTCCCAAATTTGACTGCAATTAAACTTTGGGCTGTCAAGTTAATTTGGTACATGCTACATATAGAAAAATATTCTTAAGGATATTTGTTGTGGTAAGAGTGGGGGGGAGTCAGGATGTCATGTGTTTCCAATACTCTGCAATAGTCCGTTCTAGGCCAGCAGGTGACCAAAGGTTAGGACAAACAGGACTCAAGGCTTCAGCAGGGTGACCTTAGACTCCTTCATATTCATCAGATGACAACATCTCTACTTAACCCCCGTGCTGGTAGTTATCTGTGCCAGTTATAGCCAGGCATACCGAGATATAATCTGCATCACATGTCAATGCTGTCAACCATAATCAACTACGAATGGATGTAGAAATAGCGAGAATTCTTCTAGCATTAGAGTAGTGGACGTCTTTTTCTGTTTTGCCTAGGGCAAGTCATTGACCGTTTGAAACTGTAAGCCTTTGCAATGAAGGCATGAGTTGAAGGCATGCAGTCACTACTGATAGTGTAAAAAGAGGAAATAGCTGAAATTTTCTTCATCACTGTGAGTTGATATTAGGCTTATCTGCCGTTAGTCAGGTGAACTCTGCATGGGACTGTATTCTGAGGTTTAGATAGATAAGACTGTCTGTATGGCTACATATGTCTGCTTATATAGACTATCCAAGGCTCCTACAAGTACAAAATGTACCCATAATTTTGTCTTCAAGTAGATACTGCATGTTAATCATGGCTGTGTGTTTGTCAGGTTTGACTCGCTGACAGGAGTCCCGTCCAGCCAGCGTACTGTAGCGTTTGAGAAGGGCAGCGTTCTCTTCAACATCGGCGCCCTCTACACACAGATCGGGGCAAAGCAGGACAGAACCAAGAAGGATGGAATCAACGCCGCAATCGATGCTTTCCAGAAAGCTGCAGGTACCAAAAACAGAAACATTGTTTCATCTTTAAAGGTTAACAGGACGTGTAATGTTTACATTGTATTACAGAATATTTATACAATTCTGAAAATTGAATTGTTTCTTGCCAACAATGTAAAAGGATATCTTTGAGGTAGATACAACAAGAAGAACTTTATTGCAAGACAATATACTGTAGCTGGTACAGTGAAAGAGCAAAGTTGCTATTGCAACATTTATCTAACAGTATTAACACTTTTATTAAGAAGTAAAAGTTCTAACAGTTCTAAGAAGCTGATCATTGACTTCTATAGATATAGATGTTCCTGTGTGTTTGATGTATCATGCCTTTGCTTGACATTGAATTTCATACGGTTATAAAGGGCATAGATACAAACATGCTAAATGAACTACTGTTTCTCTTCCTTCAGGTGCCTTTAAGTACCTGCAGGATAACTTCAGCCACGCCCCAAGTATGGACATGGGTCTGGAGACGTTAGAGGCCCTGATAAAGCTGATGCTGGCCCAGGTGCAGGAGTGTGTGTTTGAGAGGAAAGTACTGGATGGGTGGGAGGAAAACCTCACTAACTGTCTCACTGTGGCACAGGAGTCTGCAAAGGTGGGTTTGTGTGATGTAGCGTTCCTGCCAGCATCCGTCTTTCATTCATCTTTTGGCTTTTCTTAAGGTGATGTCAACACTGGGTCAAAGGTATCTGGTTAACCATGATTTTTTTCCCCCTTTAGGTGTCTGAAGCATACAGCATGGTTCACAAGGCCATGAACACGCCGCCTGTCAAGGACTACGTGCCCTTCTCCTGGATCTCCATGGTGTTGGTCAAGTCTGAACACTTCAAGGCACAGTCCCACTACCTGGCTGCTGTAGGCTTCATCGACCAGAAAGGTACAACGTCATGTATGTCATTAGGAATGCGCATATTGATTGGTTTGTTTTTATGAATTGCAAAGTCCATTTAGGTGCATACTTTGATATGTGTGTGTTGCATGTAATCTGAACTACAAATGTAGTTTGTATGCCTTCCATTGATTATTCATATTTTGTTATCGGCACATCTTTTGGGTGTTTTCACACAATCAAAAGTACTGAAAAAAATTGTTTATGCTTTAATGTGGTCTTTTGCAACAGCAGTATGGCAAAATACATAATAGAAAAAAAAACAATACATACAGGAATGCAACCATTTTAAACTGTTTGCTCGTCATGACTTGTGTGTCTGTGTATCTGTGCAGGTGATAATGATGAAGATGAGTTGGAGAAGCTGCTGTCTCAGGTCCACCTGAGGGATGCTGACAGCCCCTCCACAGTCGCTACAGACAGGGAGGACAGAAAACAGCTAGGTAAAGTCACCACTGGAGTCAGGTCTACAGACCTTTAAACCTTAGATCCTTCTGTAATCTTGTTGCATAGGTTGACTTGGTAGCAGGTTTTTTCTCTCTAAAGGTTGCAGTTTTGTGCTGCTACTGCCATTTCCTCAAGCAGATTTAATGCCAGTTTTTTCTCATCATTTTGTATTGTTCATCAGAGAGTAACTTCAGGTCATCCTCTCGGGTGTGTCAGGTTCATGTGCAAGGTCCACAGGTCAGACAGAATTCAGGCATTACTGAGAAATAAGAGTTAGTGATAAGGCCACACCAATTTGATTTGTTGGTTCTCAGATTTAAAAAAATGAAACAACAAGGCACAAGAAAAATGAAAATAAATTTGGGGATTTGATGATTGTGTTGTTTTTGGAGGTGTTTGCAAGATATTCAGATACTTAGTTTATGCTGTTGGTAGCTATGTTATAATATATGCCAGTAGTACAAGTAGTACAGGGGAAAAAAAGATCTCTATTGTAACATAAAGTAACTGTCTTGACCCTTCCAGGTAAAGCCCACCTGCGGGAAGCCCTGATCCTACACGAGGATGCCTTGAGAGTCCACAGGATGTGTAAGAAGCTGCGACAGATCGACACACTGGGCACCATCCTGAAGGAGGCCCACAACAAGTCCATGACCAAATATAGTGATGTGGAGGAGGAGGATGAGTTCTATGATGAAGTCATTGCTCCGAGGATACAACGTGAGAACCTGGTTTTAACAAAACAAGAGATTTTGTATTTTTGAAGGGTGTAATAGAACAGTATTGTATACTGTTCCTCGGATGTTGTGAACGATCCATTTGAAGTATTTATGGTTGAAAATGGGTAGTACAATGTATTTGATTTTCTTTCCCTTCAGTGTACTATAACAGACTTTACATTCTTCTCCAGCTAAAACCCACCAGAGACCAGAGATCAAACCACCCAACTTTGCAAATGTCAAAGTAGTGGACATTTTCCACAGACTGGTAAGATTGTTTTTTTTTACAATATTTTCTCAGCAAATGTATTTAGCAGTTCCACATTTTTTTTAATGTAGAGGTAGTTCAGATGTTACATCACGATTTGTCTGAATTATTTTAGTAAGATTCTATCTATTTTTATCTACAGGGCCCTCTTGCAGTGTTTTCCGCCAGAAACCAATGGAGCGTGCCCAGAACGTGTTTGATGGAGAAGGGTGAACAGGGCTTTGGGTTTGTACTAAGAGGAGACTCACCAGTCATCGTAGCAGAGGTGGAGCCTGGCAGCAAAGCTGCGGTAAGAGTTGTACTTCAACTGCTCCCCCTAGCAGCCATGGAAAGAACTACAAGAAAAGACATGATAGCACTTAACAATGCATTTAAACAGAATAATTTCATTGACTTTCTCTTTACTCTTAAGGGTAGCTGTCCGAAGCATGCTTTATCATCCTTTTAGCCATTTTAACAATATTCCTGCAATTTCTTCATCCACAGCAAGGTGGCGTGAAGCCGGGTGACTTTATCGTGGCGGTGGACGGGCGGAACGTGAAGTGGGGGAAGCACCACGAGGTCATTAACCTCATCCTGAGCTGCGGCGAGCAGGTCAGCATGCAGGTGGTGACCCCCCAGGGTCGGGACTACCTGCACCCTCAGGTGAGACAATATGATAGCCTGTACTACATCTTCAGTATCTCAGGACCTGTACTCAGTGTTCTAGCCAGTGTCCCTCTTTCCATCATTTGGTGGAATTTCGCTGTGCACAAGGGACAAAGATTTGCCAAATCTGTCATCTTTGATGGACAAAAATTGGCATGTAAAGAAATGGAAAGATGTCATTAAACTAAGTTTGGTGACATGAGAAGAAGAAGAACTAAGCATAGTCCATCAGAAAAATTTGCCCCTCAAAATGCAGGCCATAGCATTTCAGAGGGTCAAGATTTCACAATCTTCCTGGGAAAGCATGTCCTGAACCCCCTAAGATTTTCACTCCTCTGATGCGATGCCTTGTGTGTTTGGTGCTTGATATGATGTTACGTCAAACAAATTGGAGATGACAGAAAAAAAATTAAGGCTGGCTTGAATACTAGCCTGGGTACCATCCTACTTGTATGCCGGGGCTCCAACACTTGCTTCCCTAACAAGTAGGATGGTACCCAGGCTATTGAATACTGTACATTTATATAGTTCACTAAAAAAAACAGAAATGATATAAGATTCGATAGGTACAGTTTTGTGTGTCGAATTTCTCTCTTCCTTTCTCTGTATTTCTTATTTTCTCCATACTTTCTTCCCCATTGTTCTCCTTCCTTCTGTCTATCCCCTGACCCAACCCCACCCCCCTGACCTGATACCCCCTCCCCCGTGAGTAGCCCCCCCTGCTGATGTGTTGGGCCCCTGAAGGAGATGATGGTTCAGTGGTGATGCCCATGTCCTGTGGATGCCAGTATTTGTAGTGACGACGTCCCATCCTGTTAGTACTCTCCATATAGCCTTTTTCTCTCACCCACAAAACTTCCCTAAACACAGCCGTGCTGTTGATATTTATGTTTCAATAAGAATACTAACTGTTGTATAACCTGTCCTCAGAGAGTTTCACCTCTGTGCAATACGTGAAGCTGATACAAGTGTTGCAGTGTTATAATTACTAACTACCGGTACATGTATCTTGAACTGTGCCTCTGGTTAACCATATGCTATATGATACAAGCAAATAAAGAATGTGATTCTTTCCGATGTTTTATTATTGATGGCATGAGTTTTGTCTTCATCCTCTGATAACTATAGTTATGTAAGACTATTAACTAACAGACCTTGTCTCACATTTTTTCTGCTCTGCTTAAGTGAGTGACAACTTGCTCAGTAAGTCCATTGCTGCTTTAGGCAGTGTTTCATTTACTTAAGTGTATTGTAGGCTGTGGTTTTCATTCTGAATTTTGGCTCAGCTTGAGGGAGGGGGTTTTCTCGAGACAGAAATTCCTTTCCCAATAAATATTTTTGTGACTATTCTGCAGAGAAGGGAAAAAAAACAAAGGGAGGGTATGCAGACTTCTGAAGCTTCCTCACAAGTTACAACTTGGTTCCATTGTATCATATTTTATGTTTGCTGGTATCTTGACCCAAACATTCATACATTTTCATTTCAGGCACACGGAAGTGCTCCTGTGTATTATGATATGCTTTCCATTTAAGTAAGCAGGTTGACCATTTCTTGGTGTTGTAGGGGATTTGACAATTGTGTTGTTTTTGGAGGTGTTTGCTAGATATTCAGGTACTTAGTTTATGCTGTTGGTAGCTATGTTATAATAGTAGTGCCAGTAGTACAAGTAGTACAGGGGAGCATGGGGGCTTTGCTGGAACTTTGGTTGCTTGGCCCTCTGCAGCACCTCACTGCGCTGCTTGGTGGAGTGTTTTTCCTGATTGTGAGGTTTACATGTAACTACTGTATGCAACCTGTATAGCATTGTGAGAACCATTTCATAGGTCTAATTCTTAACATTGTGTTTACCTTCTCTAGCTGAGCAACGAGCAGAATGGTCGATCCAGCAGCAGGCTCAGTCAACAGGAGATGATGAGGAAAGAGAGTTCCCCCACCACGTCAGAGACAGGGTCCACCAACAGCAAGCGTTTCAGCTGGGGGTTCCGTAGGAGGGAGAAGTCACACAGCCAACTCTCGGCACACTCACGGGCACAGATCAACTCCAACAGAGAAAGCTGCATGTGGTAGTCAAGATACCGTCTCACTGGCCGCCCTAGCTGACCACCCCCATTATAGAGTGTGGGAGTCCAAAATTAAAGTACCGTATACCCTCAGTTAGACCCTAAGTTAAAAATACTGAGGGATCTCAATTTCAGTTACGCCACCTATATTGGCACATGGAATGTTACAAATCATAACATTTTTGCAACAAATTGTCGAAGGACCTCTCCATTTTGAATATTAAATGGGGGGATCAGATAATGTAGACGTTTTATCAGTAGTCTATGTTAGTTTTTCTAGTCACGACTGCTAGAGAAAAAACTGTAGAAGGATTTAGACCAGTTATAGCCAACTTCCAGAACAAAATGTATTGTGTAGGAAAGAGAAAGAGGACAAATTATTATTTGTTAGATGACTACCGGTATGTTTCTACATCTTAACAGTGAAATAAGTGTTGTATACATTTGTACAGGTTTATTCCATCTAATCTGGTTATACCCGGTAGATTATTGCCTCAATGCTCAAGCCCTTGCCTTAAACAGTGGTTTCTTGTAATGTCTGTCAACTGCTATATATATCATATCTCTGATAAGTCTCTTCATGTTTACAGTTTAGTCAACATTTCTGAGTGATCCATTGAAGCATACGTTTCTTTTTCCTGTGTATTTAATGATGACTTCATTGTGACAGACATTGTTTATATCATTCTGTAAAACAGGGTTGTATGTATTTTCAACAGAGAGCTGGCTCTGAAGGAAGAAAAAAATTGGGAAGCTGCTATCCTGTAACTAATAACCTTGGTAGGAAATGTACAGATTGTTAGTTTACACATTCTAGGTGAGATATTTAATGATTTTAAAGTACAGTTTGTATCTAACTTATTGTTATATCTCTGAATGTGGAGGAAGCTGTAGAATAGTATCAACTGGTAACTATGCAACTTTCTACAGATTTTAATGCCTGCACGTTTGTATGTATCTACTGAATACACTATATCACACCTGTTATGTTTGTATCGTAACAGCCGGTTGGCTTATGAGGTGGCATGCAAGTTGACACATCCAATCAAAAGAACTGTTGTGTATATATAGGTGGTCTGGTCTGGGGACTGCCAATGACACATGACAATGCCTGATTTATCATGCACTTTTAATTGTTGTCACTAGATGGCGCTCATGTGCAGTAAGTTGATATTGGTACCAAGATGATGAGAAACAACAGATTAAGAAGATTAATAAGATAACAAAAGGAGTCTGGTATCATCACAAAAGTGGATTTGCTATGAAAGGTTTATTTTGTGATATATATACATTTTGTGAGGTAAATACAACAAACAGCAAGTATATATCTGCTTGATGCTTGATATAGGAAAATGCAAGGAATGTTTTGTATTTACAAAGATGCAGACAGTGATATATTTTCATGACTGATGGTGACAGCTCTGAATCTTGCCAGTTTTTATACTTGCAATCACAGCCATAGTGGGAGCAATAAAACCTTCATCATTTTGTAGACGGAAGTGGAAGGGAGGTTGGTACGATTGTAATGACAATGAATGGTTTTAATCGAAATTGGTGATTGTATGAAGAAGCCGATTTCTTAGCCATTATTACAACATGTTGAAGTAAGTTATCACATTTTTTGTATGGACCTCTGCTAACATCCACATTTTATCAAGGGTTTACATGTACATACCTAAACATCCGAAGAAACTTTGTTGTCATTTTAAAGTAAATTTCTTTTGTTAACAATCAGGACAGCATTGCTGGTGCCAGTACATATGCTCACCCATCAGCCCTATTTTATTTCCATCAGTCTAATGTACAAATAGTGATATTGTGTATCCTTCCTTTAGAGAGTTATGACACATGATAGGTCATGCTTTAACTTAGATATGTATGACTTTTAGGAGGTTTTAGATTTTCAGCAACTTTTTTCTTCAAGTCATAATGTGCAAGAATAAGGAAAACCTTATGTTACATTCTGTTTGTAAATGTATTACCGAAAGTATTATGCTTGCAACAGTGATTTGTATATATTAAGCAAGAGTTATTATTAAATGAACAGAAAGGGAGTCTTGATGGAACAGATATGGCACTGTATATTTGCACTGGCTCTTAAAATAAATACAAAACAACAGCTCAGCTTTGTTGGTTGTATTGTAATGTATTATATCCATGCTGTATACCACAATTTTCTTATCTACTAGTAAAAGATGTACATCTGTTAAGAATACATAATGTCATATTTAAAGTTGTAATTTTACTCTTAAGTTAACCAGAAGATATGAAGCACTGAATAAAGTATGAAAAAATCTGTGCCTGTTGCAGTCAGTTTTCTTTCATAACGTTTACAAACGACTGATTATTTTAAGTAATAATGATTGGCATAAGATAATATAATTTTATAATATGAAACTCAGAAAAAGTGAGTAAGTTACTGTTTTGTAAAATTGAGGTAGACTTAGTGGTCAGAGAAGTAGTAATTTGTGTGTGCCCAAGTAACCTTACAAGTTACAAGGTATGGCTCACCTTTTCTAATAAAAGGACTTCATGATTAGAAAATTTTGTTGAGGACTGATGGGTTTTACTAAATTACATATATATGTCTGTACTGGTTTGTAATGTCTGAAAGCTTACACTAGTCAGATTTGTAAATGTATTCTTCCACACGCATTTTTGTTACTAGTAACTGTGATATTCTTGTTTCTTCACTTCTTAAATGTAGGATTTTTCTCTTGAGATGTAATGAGATATCTATGTATGTAACAACCTTGCACTGTCCACCCTGCCTGACCAGTGGGAGGGCTGCTAGATGTGCGATTTAGTCAGCCTACACTTGAGATCAAATTCAAACTTGTTCACCTCCCACTCAGGATTGTCAATATCTATAGGCTGTTTCAATGTCTTCTCAAGGAATGTGACATGATCATTCTGATCAACTAGAATGACTGTATTGGTTCTTGTCCCGTAGTTCGCTCGTTTTGGTGTCCGCACACAGATGGCAGTATACCCATGTCGCACAGTTTCCGACAAATGAGTTCCCTGCAGCTTCACTTGTGGGTCATCAGGAAATTGCACGTTGTTATCAAGAAGTTGCAAGAGACTCTCAATAAAAACATCCTTGTCACCCTCCTCCTTGTCTTGTAGAATCTCCCGGAACAACTTCTCCCCGTTGTTTGCCTTTTGAAATGGTGTGTGAAGTAGGGAGTTACTGATGACATACTGGCCTGGAGACAAGAGCTTTGGACCTTCTTGAGAAACATTGCTGTAATAGGCCAGACCCGTGTCTTGAGTCAGATCCATAGTCACCAGGTTAAAACCATTGAAAAGGTGACCTTCTTTAGCAAGGTCTTCGAGATAAGCCATCGGTGTTTGGTCCCCTCTTAGGAAGTCAGTGATGAGACTTCCCCTGCCTTTAGCGTTGGGGTCTTGTATAGGCTGCAGGATGTTGGTCAGGGCTGACAGCCGGCCTGTTTCTGCAATACCGATCCAGGTGCCTCCTTCCCTTCCTGGTTTAAACAGAAGAGCAAACAAAACTGTAAGTTATACTAGTGCTGTAGTCACAGAGGTTAGAACCACATTGTAGTAATATGCCAATGTTGCCAGAGGTGAGTTTTAAGCTACCCATGAAAACTTACAGTGAACACTACCCTTTCATAAACTCCAAGCAGATCCTAGGGTGGTCAGGCAGTATCCGTTTGGCCCGAGGAATGACCATCCACCTCAGACCGATGGATACTGCTTTACCACCCTGGGATCTGCTTGGAGATTAACCTACATGTCTATGCTGATATGGCTCACGTTAATGTTACCATAGGTCATTTAGGTTACTACATGTATTTAGGTCAGTAGTATCAAACGTTTATCTCAAAGCATATCCTCAGGTGGTAAGGCAGTATCCATTGGCCCCAGGAGTGACCATCAGCCACCATTACCCGGTGGGCAATGCCATTGGTGGCTGATTGACCCTGCTGGTCAACAGGTAAACAGCTTACCACCCCCCCCCCCAGAGACTTGCCATTGAGATAAACGTTTGATGTCTCTGCTCACTGTCTCACGTTATTACCATAGATTACTAGGTTACTATTTAGGTCAGTAGTATCAAGGACATTATACTAACTACGTCCTTGGAAGTATCAAACGTTTATACCATACCAATGGCAAGTCCCTGGGGTGTTTAGCTGTTACCTAAATAAGGCATGGGGGGAAACGACCTGCTACCAGTGAGAACGTATCATTCCACTCACCCGGTTCCATGTCCAGGCCACTCACAACTCTCGGGTTTTCTCCCCAGAAGTGCGCGGGTTTGGCAGGCCGGTGGTAGTACTCGTCTCTGTTGGCAGCCAGGACAAGTTTGTACCGGTCACCTGGGGCAGCGGTAACGGTACAGGCCGGCTCAAACTTCACGAAAAGAATACACATGTTTGAGTCTGACCCTGCTTTCTCCCAAGGTACAGCGATCAAACGTTACAATCTGTCGATGGAGTTATGCAGGGGGAGAGAACAATTTGGGGTGAAAAATGAAGAGGAACTGGTCCTGTGTCCCAACACGGAAACGTCCAAAATGTCGTCTGCTCCAAATGGCGCAGGCGCAGTGTGAAATTGCGGTACGTTAATCTCTATTTGCAGACTCCTTGGAAGGGTTTTTAAAAAAGAATTCAGACAATCGCGATGGTAAATATGTACAAAACCAAATGTATAACATTATACGTATTAGAACACTACAGTAACAAGAAAAACTGTAAAAGAAAACTATCAAACATTAAAGCTCACCGAAAAATTGTATGATACCGTCGCGGAGTCTGATGTGGAGGCTAATTTCTTACCCCAAAATAAACCCCCCATGCTTTGAATGGAACAATCCCAGATCCAATATGGCTGAGAAGAGGCCCGCTGAATTTGAAGAAGACACAAAAGAGGGAAATGGACCCCGAAGAACAAGAAAAGTAGCCCTAATCACGGGAATAAGTGGACAGGTAAGTGTAAGAGCAACTATAGCGACTTAATTCATGTGTGGAGCGTTTCCAGTGCGTGTTGGTTGGACAGAAATGCTCTTCAAAAATGGGACCAAGGACTTGGCCATGGGACCTGATAAGTGGTGTTGTTTACAAACATACATGTATTCTCTTGGATGCGAGTCTTCTATATAATGATGTACGTCACAAATATTGAATAAGAATTTAGTGTCCAATCTTAGTAGTCACATTCTGACGATTTATCGTAGTGTTTTAATGAATGAAACGACCTCAGTGTTTTTCAAGACGTGACGTGGCAAATACCAGTTTGACCGGTATAGCCTCTTCTGTATATTATCCTTGGGTATACATGTAGTAATCTCCAAGCAGATAACATGGTGGCAAGGCAGCAGTATCCATTGGCCAGAAGAGTGTCCATTAGCCACCACAGTGGCCATGCAAACTCCTCTGGCAGTAATGCACACTGCCTTGCCACCGAAAGAGATCTGCTTGGAGAATACCAGTATAGTGCAAGAACAATATCTCCAAGCAGATCTTTTGGGTGGTTGCAAAGACAGTATCAAGTTGGCCAGGCAAAATCCATTTGCCAGGCAGTGGCAAATGGATGCTGCTTGGCTAATACACTGCACTGTTTTTGCAGCCACCCAAAAGATCTGCTTGGAGATTAACAACATTAACAGCTGTTAGCCTAGCCGTGGCGACTCAGGAAGCCTCTTTAATACTTTCTGAGTCGCCACGGCTACTGTTAGGCTAGATTATCCAACATTCATGTGACCTTTACAATGTATGTTTATGTTACACACTTCTGTTGTGTCAACCAACCTGTACCAAAGCCATTAGACCTAAAGTGTTTAAATTGCTCCTTGGGTTCCATCACTACACCGTCTTAATTGGGAAATTACTAGAATACATGAATCAGTGGCCTGGTGCTGATAGTAATTACTAGTATTTTGATTGCTGCACAGTTGTCAGTAGTAGCTTGTTTGTTTTGCATAAAACATGCCAGTTTTTGAGAGCTGGAGAGGGTTCCTCAAACACGTAGCCTCCAGCGTTATGTCCTATCCGACACAACATTCCTAGGCCTGCACCTCGAGGCAACACTGGGCCTGTCAGGGATTCAAACCTAGAACCTTCAGTTTCTAAGTCAACAAGACTAACCTCAAGATCACCTTACCACCAGAAATAACATTGTGAAGACTTACATCCTCACAGAGTAACATCAGTCATTTTTGTTATTGTTCTATGAATACTACTACTGCGTAATCTCATTTCTGCATGGATGCTTCTCATAACTATAGAGGGATGACACCACACGGTCACCCTATTCATTTTGCTTGAATGCACAATGTGTCTTTAGGCAAAATCAAACTGCAGAAGGCATCACAATTGTTTACAGTTGTCTAAAGGGGCCTTATTGTAAATCTACAATGAAGTTGTGAAAAACCATTTTTTTGTTTGTTTGTTGATAAAATGAATGTTCTTATGCACAGTCATTGTTATATGTACAGCTGTCACACTTAATTGTTGTAGAAACAGCTGGATACCTGGTAAAAAGGGCATTCAAATGTTACCTGTTTAGCCCAGATGGTTAATTGGTCAAAATCTACAAATGTAGGTGTGGGTGTGAAAGTGCAACAGAGTGCAAGTAATGACATAAATGTAAGATATCTGCCATATTACTAGTAACATTACATATTACTGTGATGCATTTCATGCACCTATCTTTTTCTTACCCTGCAGGATGGGTCTTACCTGGCAGAGTTCCTGATAGACAAGGGCTATGTGGTAAGGACAGCTACAGGATCATTTCAAGAATTTGACAAATGATAAGAAGGCTGTATATTGTTTAAAACAGAAGTATGATAACACTTGCAATTTTTCGTGCATTACTATAAAAAAAGTTATGTGTTGAATGTAAGTTGCTGTCTGAATAACTGGAATGGAATATTTGAGGCATTCATGTTGTTTTTTTCAGGTCCATGGTATTATCAGAAGAGCCTCTACCTTTAACACTGGTCGGATTGAACACCTGTACAAGAACCCTTTTGGCCATTTTGAAGGAGGTACACATGGTTCCCCTCTTCCCATACTTGATGGGCAAATACAAGCCTTTGTTTTCATTTCTAAGCAAAAAAAACAAAACATGTTGAAATGCATTCATATTTAAGGACAAGTAGCATTAGCATTATACACAATAACTTTATTGACACAACAAAAGTACAGTGACTTTCATAAGATCTATAACTAAACATACAGATGTTTATATATGTTACAATGTCAACAAATGTGGCCTTTATCATAGTAAGGGTAATGTTTTTATGTTAACTCTTTATTATATGCATGTGTTGTTGTTTTTTTCAGACAATTTCCACCTCCACTATGGAGATATGACAGACAGCACCTGCCTAGTTAAGATTATAACAGAGGTAAGTAGAGAGATATTGGATATGTGTGTCTGTGTTCTGGTTCCTGTATTGTGTTATGTTCTGATGGAGTGTTGATCTACTGCATGTAAATGGCGAAAAAGTATGCTTTCCAGTCTGCTGAATTGCTTTCTTTTCCACCCAGGTGCAGCCAGATGAGATTTACAACTTGGCAGCACAGAGCCATGTAAAGGTGAGAGGTGTTATGTTAGATACATTTTTCTTGATGATCAACAGAAGGTGCTGCAGTACATGGGGATCCTATCGTAGATTTTCTGGTTCTGTATCTGCACCCACACAGGATTTTATCATATTGATTGAAGGAGACCATATGTAAATGTACCCAGAACTTTCCCAAAATTTAAATCATTCCAACATGAAAAATCACACAGATCTGTTTTTTTATTATTTATCATGACGACAGACCAACCAAGCAAAACACAAAAATGACTAGATATATGGAATCTTAGTTTGTATGACACGAATGCCCTTCTTGCAGTGATTGTAGCCTCCTGTGCAGGCTTCCAAGGCTGTGAGTTTTGATATTACATTAACGTGTTGTTTTACAGCCAGAAAACATTACACTGCCAGAGAAGGTTATGCCACGAGAGAGGGTTACCGGTATATCCACCCTCTCTCAAAGCATAACCTTCTCTAGCCGTAGAACATTCTTTGTCAAAACAACACGTTTGCCACAATATCAAAAGTCACACCCACCCGGAAGCCTGCAGTGATTGATGTATGACACCCTCCATCAGGTGTCCTTCGACCTTGCGGAGTACACAGCAGACGTGGACGGCGTTGGCGTGCTGAGGATGTTGGACGCCATCCGGACGACCGGTCTCGTCAGCAAGGTGAAGTTCTACCAGGCGTCCACCAGCGAGATGTACGGACTGGTACAGGAGGTCCCGCAGAAGGAGACCACGCCCTTCTACCCCAGATCACCCTATGGTAGCATTTAGCATTTTCTTTCAATTGTGTTTCTAGCTTTAGCTTTGTATACATCTTGATAAAGGTACAGAAAGAAGCAGTTCATTGTATGTTTCATGAGTGTTACAGAACTACTACGTCTTGCTTGAAGTTGTCTCTATGTTCAATCTGCATTTAGGCTTTGAGATTTGTCAAGACTTGCATTTGTACCATGCCAAACTTGATCACAATGTACATGTACCCTCTTGTGCTATAAAGAATTTTCAAGCTATATTCTGTGCAACTATGAAAACTGCTTTTGCGAAGGAAGACAAGCAAAACTGCTGCATGCATATTACGTCGCGGGCATAGATATGCACTTGGGACATTGCGCAAGCATGTTTAATGTTGCGGGCATGTAGCAGTAGCAGTACAATGTAGCTGGAGCAGTGGCAATATTTGGAGTACAGCTGCCTATAGCATGATTGTAGCCATGGACAAGCAATGCAGGTATTGTATCATATATTTACAATGTATGTTGTTATGTTATGTTATGTTATGTTATGTTATGTTATAATTAAGTTTTGTTTGATAATGCAAGAAACACACATTTTGATACAATAGAAATGCACCATAGGAATCACCTTTTTAAATTTAGAACGCAAGTTGCACAGTGGATAATCTAAAAGAAAGAAAGCTTAGCAGGTTTGAAAAAGACAAACCAATTCACTTTAAGAAGAAGGATTTTTGTTTTCTACCTTCCCAGGAGCAGCGAAGCTTTATGCCTACTGGGTAGTGGTGAACTACAGGGAGGCATACAACATGTTTGCCTGCAATGGTATCCTCTTCAACCACGAGAGTCCCAGGAGGGGTGAGTGTATTAAACAGAATAGCTTTAAATTCCTTTATCTTTTGTATTATCAGAAGAAAGACAAAAATGTTGTGTTGAAAATGCTGTGTTTTAAATATGATATTCTCTGCCTAAACAAGAAATATAATGAGAGTCAACAGGGGAAAGGAATGTGAGAATCATGTTTCTGTCTGGACAGGGGAAACGTTTGTGACCAGGAAAATCACCCGAGGTGTCGCCAAAATCCTGCTGGGTCAGCAGGACGACATTGTGCTGGGGAACCTGGACTCTCAGAGGGACTGGGGACATGCCAAGGACTATATCAGGGTACGTACGGTCTGCCTAACTCTGTAAGTACATGCCAAGGACTATGGCAGGGTACGTACGGTCTGCCTAACTCTGTAAGTACATACCAAGGACTACTAGTGTGTCTAGGTAGGTGGAGTCTGCCTAACTCTGTAAGTACATGCAGGAAGCACTTTGGTTGATAGATTATAAATTTTTTGCCTAGCTAGTCAAATTTTTGACGACCAATAGTACCTGCAGAATAAACCTCTGCCAGGAATCCTTAGAAACATTACTGGATCTGGATTCGGTTCAAAATTTTACCACCTGCCAATTGCAGAAAAAAATGGCAAACTCAATTCTCAAATCTCACAGTCAAAAAGTCAAAATATCTGAGTTACCCTGTTGACAAACAAGTCAACCAGCACTACTGACAAGTCCTCTCCTGAACTGAGTTATTGTGTAGTTTTTTTCCAGCTGCCTCCTGCACTTTCATTGCCAAGTCTGTCTGTGAATTGGCCTTGATGCCAACAGAACTAATTTTATTCCCACTCACCTGACATAAGCCAGCTGTAGGGGGTCTGAATCAGTTGTTCCATGCCCAGGGGAGCATCTGTATTGAGATAGCCTCAGTGTGTAGTTCAAACTGTAGTTTCCAGCACAGAGGGAATATCAGATGGTTGTTGTGTGGCTGATGTTTGAGTGGTGAAGTGTCAATGACAGGGTGTAGGTATAAACAGAAGATATGAGCCTTGTCAATGGATGCTGTAGACCAAGGCTTAGAACTGGAACTATTGGTTCAGGGCATGAAATACAGTACAATGTATGCTGTAGGCAAAGAAACTAGTGAAATAATTCAAAGCCTCAATCCTGGTATTCTATGTAGAAAGTCTCTGTGTAGTACAACCTGTCTTTTTGTTGAGGTTATAGGTCAATACCACTTAAGACTACAAGTATCGCTACCTACTTTGAAAGAAAGGGCAGAGATCCTGAGTTCATAAGGGCAATGCCCTCCTTCTTTCCTGTTGTCTGAACAGAAAGCCTTAGAGCTGTGTGCCTTAGTCCTGTACTTTTGTATTTGGCCCAATTTGGCTTCAATATCCCTTTTAAGTACACTGTAATGTTTCAGTTGTCCTTTGACAATGGCAATATCATATCTATGCAACGACTCTGTTTCTTCCATAATACACAATATAATAGGCTCAAGAACTTTCTCAGAAATTTCAAATGTATGGTTTTTCTGATGCCACTCAGTCCTTACTAACTAAGTTGGTTCCATCCAATCCAATTTTCATCCCAGCTATCTTGCAACACAATTACCATAGCCCTTTCTGAGAATCTGTGGGAAGACAAATTAGTTTTCCATTGCTGAAGGTCAGCCCTTGTCACAACTGTTTAAGATAAGTTGAAGTGCTATGTGCTAATGATATAATACCCACTACACCTCTGGAGAACTGATTAAACTCTGGAACAGCCCAAGTACAAATGAAGATTAATTGGCACCAAGACCACCTGGATACTGTAACCAAATCTTCAGGTATCGCCTTTTGGCTACAAGATGGAAAATTGCTCCTTGTAACCTTGGTGTTGACCTCAGGATGTCAGCCCAATGCCACTTGGTCTCCAACCTTGCCCCCAGGGTCCATTTCAAATTAACCCCTGCAGAAACACAAGAGGTCTGGTGGTTTTGTACCCCCTTATCTGATGACCCCCCACATGCTGAGAATAATGGGAGATTTCAAGTGCTTGTTGGGAACTAGGGTGAGACCACTTTAGATGCTGATGTGTGATAAAGAGGTGGAACTTGACACAGAAGATTGGTTTTGCCCAATCCTCATGGTCTTATTCAAGACTAGCTATTAACTAGCAGGGCTCTGGTGGAGCCTGGATGAAGAGGATTCAAAGGACATTGAAGAGTGGCTGGTCTTCCAGGAAACTGGTTGAGGAACCGTGATGAATATGCAGTAGACAACTCATGGTACAGCTCTTTTATGACAGGGGGATATGTCATCAATGAAGTTCAAAATTTGGGGTACCTGGTAGTTTTTCAGTGGAACGTGGAAACCAGAATCAGTATGTTAACTTGATTTATCTAGAATTATCCCTATGCATTTTGACTTTGTTTTACCTCATATTTTCACTAAATGAATTTTTTTAGTGTATTTTGGAAATAGGTACACAGCACATAACTTGGCTCAAGTTTCGAGTACCTCTGTTGCCAGCAGACAGCTCCCCCTATCAAGTCCTATAAGAACTTCAGTGTTGCTCAATGATAGCACAGTGTTCAGTGTGAACTCAATGATAGCACATAAACTAAACATTAAATGACAGAAAAGCCAGTCTACCTATAATTACTCTGCCAAGCAACACCCTTTGTGTCATATATGACCTGACTTAGAACTTACAATACATAAACTCAAGGCTTTATACTGTGGCAAATACCTTTAGAAACCCCAATATCAGCATCACGGACATTCTGTACCCATTCACTTGGTCTGAACAGTTCCAAGGAAAGGAGCACACCTTTCATCACCTGTGCAGTGATTCATTGCCAGTGTTGGTGGCACAAAATACCCAAGGTCACTGACAAGGTCGTCAACTGACAGGAGTCAAACGGTTCCGCTGGAAGGTCATTCCGGGGACAGATTTCCCTGCATGCTTTGGGGCAGGCTCTGCTTGTTTATCGAGTTCTGTAACCTTTTCATTGCTGTCTATAGGAAACAATTTTATAGTAAAGCAACAGTTTCAGCATACTTTTTTTGCAAGTGATTTGAAACTACTAAAACATCTGTTTTTAACCATTTTTGAAAGCTCAATTTTTACTTTAAATTACTCTGGATTTGTATAGTTAGGCAAAATTGTTATCTGTGCAGCACGTTTGACATGTGATTTGAAACAGTAGTGTTAGGCATTTGTCAGGATACCTGTTGGTGGGCTGCATTCTTTGGTACATGAACTGCTGTAATTCAGACATTGTAGCTCCAACACTGTAGGCAATTCTATGAGATATCTTCAAAAAATGAAATAATCTCTTAATACCAATAATCTTTATTTAGTCGTTACAAGGAAGGAGGAATTTTATAACACACTTATCCATCACTACATACAGTATATGTATACATGTTTTCATCTTCAATTGGCTAAGAATTAACTCTTTCAACAAGTGTAATTAACTAACACAACCATGTTTACATCACTAGCTATAGACATGAGAGCATACTCTACCAAGAGAGCTACACAAGATCATGTCTGATGCATATAAACACTATAAACACTGTGATAACCAACTCTTAAATGACATGTACATTTTTTTCACATAATATTAAATCATAGTAGCAGCACTGCTATCTGTGTATGAACTTTCACTTTACATGGAAGCATGTCCTTATCACCCTTTGTGTAAAGTTTGGCATCTTGGTTGGTAAGTCAGAATCAGCTGTTCACTGTTTTGGGCTAAACACGTACTTAGTGCTGCTGTGGAAAGAAGTATTTGGGAAGAGTAGGCTTGTAGAGAGACATGTTCAGGAAACGTCCATGGTCAGCTGAACTCTGATGAAGGAGGTGGTACAGGAGGGTGGTTTCATACTTGCTACTGTATGAAGTCTCTAAATTCTAGTAGTTTCAGCAGGTTTGTAGATGTTGTATGGAGGTCTTTGTCGTTTGTTACAAAAAAAAAGTCTTGTATCTTACACCCACTATCCAGTTTAGCGTCTGTTGTTCCCCGTCTCCTGAGAGTTAGACATGCTTACACACTGATGCTGAGGCTTGAAGACAGCCCACGTTTTGCCTCTATCCTGTTGGATGCTATGTAAATTTAGGTGGTGGAAGTCCTCCCTATGTTATCCATCCATCTCTTCCTTAAATGCCCTTGTAGGTTTTTCTCTTTCACATCCAGTGTGATCTGTTGATGTTTAACTTTGGTAACTTTTCAGCTGCCTTACTAGGGATGTAATTGACTCTGCTACATACTACCCTTACCCTCACAGAAACAGTATGTGCTTTGTTACACAATTTCAAAATGATATCACTCGCACGAAATGTTTGAGGATTTCATTTCAGGTGAGGTAAGTTTTATTCTGAATTTTTTTTCCTTCTTGTCTTTTTTTTTTGATATTAACAAGAAGTTGGTCAAGCCTAGGAGGAATTTATGTTTCCTTCCTAAATTGCAAGTGTAGTGCTTTGTTCAGATGCCTCCCAATCTCCATTTGATGTCAAGAAATTTATGATCAGGTGATTATCTGATGTCTGTTATGTTTTTCTTGTCGGCTTGGTTGAAAACAGAGAGTGAATAAATTCTCAGAAGTCTGTTATGTGTCCCTTATCAGGTTTGTAGAATCCCATAGGAAATAGCCAATTAATCTGTCACAAACACTTAAGGGAAGTAGTGAAACTTACTTGTCACTACAACAGGCCTGCATCACTGGCACATGATTAGGTAAGTGTACAAAGAGTGATGATGATAGAGTGTCACTGAGTGCTTTGATCAGGTCTTTGTAAAGGAAACCAACTAGAACTCGAACCAACTAGAAGACAGCAACATGGAGAAATACACTTTCTTCAGTAGTTATGGATGACAGGAACTGAAGAATAACTGAAAAAGTATAGATATGGACAGATTGCAGTTTCGTAGTTTGAATTTTTCTAGAGGAAATCAATTAATGTTTTTTTAAGGAATTCCAACGAAGATTAGTGAGTATAGTTCATAAAGATTTTTTTTTAAAGCTACCATTTGTTACCAGGATAACCCTGACCCTTTTGCCCTTTCACATCAGGGTGGTAGAGGGGAGGTAGGAGATATACAGGGCAGTTTGGCCGGCCATGTAGCAGTTCCTGTATATCTGTGCATGTGTCAGGGATCCAGGCTGAGCCATGCCGCTGCTATCAGCAGTAGAAGGTCTACATCCCCATGTCAGGAAGTCAGCCTGTCTGATGGCTTACATCTGCCCGGAGAGGTTACAGTGCAGAGGAGAATGGTCCTGGTATTAGCTGCATCAGCTAGAGAACCTCTACCTAACGTTACATGCAGGTGTCAGATGGAAAGT